ATGAGGGCGCTGATTATGATGAATTTGAAGATATAAAATCCATCTTGATTGATCATATTTCGAAACATGGAGACTTGAATGTGACATCTCAAAGATTAATTGAGGAAATAAAAAGTCTTAGACTTGCAACAGAAACGCCATCAACTGCTACTATATCTGCGATGTTGACAATAAAAAATTCATATTTGGATAGATTAATTCGTATAATTCCCGAATCTGAACATGCTAGAAATCACAGTATACTAAGAAATACCATCAACGAACATGCTTTTCTTGCTGCCACGGTACGTTTTTTAGCGTAATATTTAATTTATTCATTTTTTTTTTTTTTTTTTTTTTTTTTTTTTTGCGAATGTTTTCTGTATAATGATAATATATTATATATTTTAGGGCGCCTTAGCGTATTGGAAAATGTCCCATTCAAAATTTCGAGAGATCGTACCGCGTATAGTAGAATATTATCTTGTACACCAATTCGCTATCCGTTTAGGAATGCATTTACGTGCACACTTCAGATTATTAGGGGCAGAACCGACAAATCGAACAGATCCAGCCGAACATATAGACTTGGATAGTTTATTAGGTGAAGATCCAGTGGTAGCTAGAAATCGTGCCGAATGGCAAGCGAACGTAACTGCTCTTTATGGTATCCTTGATCGGGTTCGAAAAGCCTCTACAAAAAAAAGTCATCGTAATCAAAATAACAATAATAGTGGTGGTGGTGGCAGTGGTAGTGGTGGCAATAGTGGTGGCAATAGTGGTGGTAGTAGTGGTGGCAGTAGTGGTCGTGGTGGTGGCAGTAATCGTAATAATAGATTTTAAACTTCATTTAAATTTTATCTTATGTATCTTTGTAAATTTATTTATCGCGAGTTATAAGCGAAATGCTTTTTTTATTCGCTTATTTTTACAATATCTTTAAATTTTTGTTTCTATATTTGTATATTCATAACGTGCTGTATTTTTACTTTTCATAAACAATAAAAATTTTTTCTTTTCTTACATGAAAGCGATCGATTTATTTATTTTAATGAAATACCAGCAGAACATTAATATTACGTGAATCACGTGTTTATAACTTTATTTTGTCAAGTAAAATAATGGTATCTGAAAAATTATTCGAAATTTATCAAGCATAGTAATACTTATGATGACATCCTAATTTCGTAGCTTGTTTATTAAAGCAATAACGATTCGGGAGATAGTATGTCACATAATTTAACAAACGACCCATAATTGTATAATGAATTGGCCGATCCGCTATTCGCCTATTGGTTCAAAACTAACAATTAAGCATATGCAATGTTCAAATTCCATAGTAAAGACATTATATGGTTGAAAGATATTCTGACAACAAAGTCTGTTCATTTAGTAAGATTTTAAAGAACTTAATTTTGCTACCGGGATATTTATATAAAAAATTTTATGTTAATTAAATAAATATCGCGCGAATATAAAATATGTATCTATTTATCCTTAAAACTCTTAGCATTTTTTTTTTTGTTCTTTGGCCACATCTTTTCATACGTTCTTATCGAAATATAACATAAAAATACTAAAAATATTCTTTTGTTTTTATAAAGATAGAATTCTTTTTGCGAGAAAAATGCCAATTGTATTATATGTCACTCCCTATAAGAAAAGATGACCGGCAAGTAAATCCGACTACAAGGATGAAAGCGTTGCTTTTTAGCTCACGTCCCATATGATTATTTTCTATAAAATTATATATTATTTTTACATATAATTTTCAACAGAAATCATGAAATGTTTTGCATAACGAATTATATTGGCTTCTGAAATTAAAGAAGTACCGAAATTGAGTATTTTAAGTTTATAGAATTAAAATATTTTCACTTCGTAAAGCAGCTACATAAAGTGATAAAAAACATTTCACATAAAATATATGTTGGTCATTTTATACCTCAAAAATATTAGCATAACCTAACGTGTCGAAGATAATAGTATTTAATGTTCTATGAAAATGTTTCGTTTCTGCGTGAAATGAGTAAAATTAAACGTTGTTTATATTAAATAATGATACCTAATTGGCTTAAAAGTTATTTGCTAACTAATTTTTTAGGAAATATCAAAGTAATTTAATAATATGCAATTAGAACAAAATGATAAAAACTTATTTTCGTTTTTTCTTAAAGTGTTAACAATCGTTCCTGATAAGTTTAAATTATGCCCAATATAAGAATATTTTTAAAAATAAGTTGATTGTTTTAAAATTTTACAAGGAATTAAACATTTTATTATCCGTTAAAATAAATTGTAGCTTTAAAGTTTCCAAATTAATAATATTAGTATTTTTGAATTTGCTAACACCAAATTGTTGTTCAAAAGATAATCTAGGTATTAATACTGATTAATAAAACGAAATTATAATCTAGGAAATGTAAAAATAATTTTCAGAAAGTAATAATTACTTAAATAATAATTAAAAGGTATCTAAAAATAAGAAAAAGAAATCATCTGTATATTCGCAAAGCTATAAGTAATATTTTCATTGGAGTTCTATTAAGGAATTAAGAAAAGTTGGTTAATATGATATATTTATGACCTGTAATTGTTGAATTAATTCATGATGTCTGTCATTAATAATTTCTTGCTTGTTTTGGTAAATATTTGTTTTTTAAAAACATTGTAAAATTTATTCTATAATTTATTCCAATAAAAATTAGAAGTTTGAGACATAGACAAATATTTAATCGTTTAATATTAATAAGGACAATTTTGCCGCCGTAAATATTTTAGTCAGATGCAGTCATTGACTCGCCAAATTTATAAAAGATCGAAAAAAAATATTTTAACAGCTCATAATGTAAAACGGATCGAGCATTGTAAATGTTTTATTTTTTTTAAAATAAATAAATAAATATATAAATTTGATGAATATTTATTTAATTTTATACAACAAATTATAATTTAAGAAATTTGCCTAATAGACTGCGAAAAATAAAATAGATATGTTCTATTTTACTATTTACAAGTCATTCTTTAATAACTTTATGTTTGATACGCTTTTTTTTTTTTTTTTATAAATCCGTATAGTTTGTGTAACTGCGCTTCCTACAGAAAAAAGTGCCAGGAATGAAATGAACCTGACCTGTACCTTCATAATTTTTCTACAAATTCCATACAATTTTCGTATAATCAGTCCTGGACAATAAGAATTATTTCCAGGAAAGGATTTAAATGTATCAATATAAAAAAAAACAAGATCCATTTTCTAGATAATAAAATTTTATCAAAGAAAATTTTTTATTACTGTAGTTTTTGAACATAATTAAAATTATTTTGATAAAATTCTCGTTAAAAATAATTAACCAGATTCAAAGATGAGAATTTACTGAAAATATTAATTTTATAATAATTGAAAAATAAAAAATTATATTAAAAACTATTTTAGCCAATCATGATATTCTAATTTTTTTTTTTTTTTTTTTTTACAATTTCGTTTCGAAAACCGCAACTATGAGAATTAGTAAAGCTTAGATAATGATATACTTTGTCAAATTTTTTTATATTTTGGTCTGCGATAATTAAAATTTTAATTTTAATAGAATTTTTTATGAATTCATTTATTTATTAGATCGCAAAGGTATTATTTTTTTAAACTTGAGAAAATTTTATTATGAATCTTAATAAAAATAAATATATACTTTATTAAATCAAATTACAGCTTTACATTGACGTGTGATAAACTTAAAATTCAATTTCAGATACCCGAAAATGCAGTAAGTTTTAACATTAAAAAAAAAAAAATGGTTGAAACCAGAAAATCAACAATTAATAATAAATCTAATGTAAATATAAAAATTTAAAATAATTCATAGCTTGCTTTTTGTTTGTAATTAATATAAAATCAATTAAATAAATTTAAAATTTACCTTTTCTTTTTTTTGAATGAAAAATAGCACGCTTTGTTATATTTCAAGAATATAAGTGACCTCCGACAGAATTTATGAATGAATTGAATAAATTGAACCGTGTGATTCTCACCTACGCGGTTTTTTAAATATTTTATATCAATCCAACAAGGCAAAAATACATCTACTCAAAATAAAAAAAATTATGAATTCATGTTATCGCTGTGTATCACTAAGAAACAAACTTTATTGAATGGAATTGGTACTTCTTCTGATGGAATCAACACTTTATCAAGCCGTACCGTTTTTTAAGTTTGAAATAAAAAGTCATGAACAATACAAGATTATTTTCAACAAAATCTAAGGTTTTTATTATTTACCTTTTAGATTTGACTTACTTTTTCCTATGAATGACATAATTTTTTGTGTTCATCCTATTAATAAATTTGAGAAATCACATCTTGCTCTAAAGCTAAAATTCGTATTATATCCTTCATTTTAAATCCGTATAGAAATAAAATACATTATTTTTATCTAGGGTTGACTTCAAAAATTAGTATAATGTTGGAAATTAAAGAAAAATAAAAGAAAATTTTCGGTACTCAAAAAAAATTTCATCCAAAGCATTCGCGAATTATTTGGTATAATTTAAATAAAAATTAATTACAAGAATCAATAATCGGTTGAAAGGTCATTCTGTATTCGTAATCAATTCATATTCGGTTCCGCCTAAAATCATATTTAAAAAAATGGTTAGAACAAATTTTTACTATTGTATTTAACGAAAAAAATTTTTTTATGCCTTACATTCACCAGGATTTTGAGTATTTATTCGAACGATATGTTTAATATCACTAAAAGCATCTTGTCCACTCTTTTCTTATCAATCGAAGAAGAAAATCAACTTTTATTTTTATAAAAAAAAGTTTAATAAAAATTATGATTCATGTTTACAGTTATTTCAACTATAATCACCATCAAGGTGATGGAGATGTCGCAAGTCATCTTGGAATGACAAAGGAGTCATAAATAGCTTGTCAGAGTGCTCTACCACCTATAATATCATTCCTTAAAGGTTTATCACTTTCGCTCCACTCTAGATAAAAAAAAAAAAAAAAAAACTCTTTATTACGATAGTCTAACAACTTTTTACTTACTTTCTTCTAGATAATAGAGCGAGGCGACCTTAAATTTATTAATATATAATTCTTCCTTTGATCGTTCCAGTTATAGATGCTTGGCGAAACCTCCTCAAAATAATTTCGTCATACCCTTTTCTATGTTTTTAATATAGTTTCGACAGTTTCAACTTTCGTCGTATCGAAAGGTTTCGTTGTATCCCTTATTATGATTTTAATATAGTTTCGTCTAAGTTTCGACTGTTATTAAGGAGTTTCGTCTCTCATCTCTAGTTGCAGTCACGTTGGTAAGAATCCATCCGTTATTAGTGCAACAGAATGTTGGTGCACTCAAAGAGTAAAGTACAAATTTAAATTCTTCTCCTTCGGGTGCTGAATTTCTTTAGGAAGAATAGGATAATCAGGTTTGACATCGCGATGAACAAATTCTGGTTATTAGCAATTGATTAAATAATATTTTATTTCCTATTTAAAGAAATAATTATTCACCTGACCTATAATTGTACCAATTTCTTTTCCAGGAATTTAGGATCTATAAAGTGATTAATGAAAAACAAAAATCAAAACGAACTTTACAAAGGAATTGTAACGAGGATAAAAATTTTATTTTCTTTGAGTATGGTATTTTCCTCTTTCATATTTATAATGTTTTGCAAGAAGTAGTATTTACGCGAGGTAATATGTAAGCAAGTACTATTTTAATATACCGAATTTAGTTATTCATTTTTGATTTATTGTTTTTGTAATCTTTAATAACGGTAATAATTACAGTAATATGAACTATTTTGATAGTTTATCATGCTTAATTTAATGGGAATACTTTATTATGCATGCACAAGCATCTATACTATAATACTATTATTAGATCTTTAAAAATTAACAAAAAATATTATAATACTTACAGTAACGATTATACAAAATTAGAAAATAAGTTCTAAAAACAAAATTAATTGAATTCATGGTCGAAACGAGTATATGTGATGAAGAAAAAAAAAAGAAAAAAAATAAATATTTTCTTAACATACGTTGTATTCAAAAATTCCTAATAAGAAAAATATTATGTTCTCTAGCTGGCGCAATTGTTGCAACTCTTCCCTCAAGTTTCTTCAGCTTAATCCTCTTTGATTCATGAATTGTTCGTAGTGTTGCTATATACATTTTGGTGAGTTGTGTCTTAAAAACAATGTTTTGTAATATTTCAGCTACATAATTAAATTGTATATTAAAGATAAAATAGTTAAATAATTTAAAGTTTAAAAAAAGGTTGAATTATCAAAATCTATAAACAGCCGGTGGATTCGCTTTACCTTAGAGATATGAGGTTGATAAAGATTTTTTTTTTTGTTGAATAACCGTGCGTATTTCTTATTTGAGAAATGTTCTGTTACACAAACTAAATTTTTTTTTAAAATAAGATTAAAGCCTAAATAACGAGTCAAATAGATTACAACATTTAAAATTTAGCATGTTAACATAGTAAATATAGATTTTATTTTGATTGTTCGAGTATCATACATATTATCGAATGTTTGCACTTGATTGTGGTCAACCAAGCGCTACTTGCATGAAGACCTGCGGAGAATTACTAATTGAATCGACGAGAAGTTAGCGTTTACACATGTTGGTTCTTTGTTTGATATCCTTGTAAAGAAAAGTACTTATATTAATGGTTCTTCGCATGGCATGTTTAATAAAGTCGTTTTTACATGTGAAAACTATTAAACTTTGCGTTTTTAGTTTTTTTTTTTTTTTTTTTTTTATAAACGAATAACAAAAGCCATTCTAAAACATTTCCCTCCCCCTTAATTTTTTATTTTAATTATCTGTGAGTCTGGATTTTTACAACTGTATGTACTTAATTACCTTCGATTATCAAACTGAAGTCGTCCACCTTGAAGCCCGTGACTTGTAGCTTTGGTATCCACTTGATTATTTGATAGACCTAATTATTATTAGTCCTGATCGTTAAGCGAAGGACTATCTATGTCTACGCAAGGCAAAGTATTACAAATGTCCGGATGTCCGCCCGCTCTTCTTTTGAGGAGCAAGCTTGTGTTACGATATATTTGGTTACTGTTGTTGCACATCGAGATTAAAGATTTAAATTAAGTGAAATTGTTAAATTTTTTTTTTTTTTTTTTTTTTTTGTATTTTATGTTTCGCATCTCTCTTTTATTAAAAATATTGAAAACGCCTTATTTTCTTTTTCGACGTCGCAAATACTTTATTCACAAACTATTTAATCCTTTTCGCACATTCTCTTGCCAAAGAAAGCAGTCGCTCTTCTTCAATCTTTCTTTCTTGTTACCTTCGACAGGCCTTGATACGTTGAAGCCTTTCGAAAGTGAACTGTTTGAAGTAAATATCGCTAAGTGAACGAACTCGAAACATCGCAACGAACAAAAGACCTGCAGCAAACTCTCTGCTTCCGATATCGATATCTATTATGACCTTTGGTATGACTCTTATATAATGTAACTGCCCATGCGAGATATATAGGAACCTGTAACCGTGACCATTTTGTCTCAGCTTTACCATCCCAGGTTCTTTAATATGAACGATAGGGACGACTTTTATTCTACTGAATTGTGTCCTGTGTACTCAGAATCGGCTCTTTTAGCCTCACGACTACCAGTATGTACAGTTCAATTACCTAAGCATTTCTGTATTGATTTTATCATTATCGATCCACGTTGTTGCAATGGATACTGTATCTTAAAATCGTTTCCGCTCTATTCTGTTTAAATTTTCTTCAAATCATTTGGTAAGTGTTTTTCAGTCATTTATATGACTTTCTCCATCGCGCTATCTTAAGAGTATATCTATAATTCGTGTTGTTTTTCAGAATCACCAGATTGCCTTTAAATAACATCAAGTTTGCACGCCTCAAAAAAATGCTTATATTATGCAATGCCGTTATTGGATAATGTGTCTCGTGGAATGTTAGTGGTGTACATTGGAAAGTCGAGCATAGGTGATAGCTGTCCAAATCAACAAAACAAAATAATGGATCTGCCACTAAAAGCTTCGTTTGCTTTCTCAGGAAAGGCTTGACGTAACCTTATATCGATTAAAACAAGCATTTGTCGACTGACCATGCTTTTCTCGTTGATGATGATGTAATTAGTCCGGAACAGAGGGAAGGACTTATATTTCTATGCAAAGTATCCCGATGTCCGCGCTCAATAATTGAGTTGATGCTGATTGGCTTTTGCGATATATTTTTTATCCGGACTTAACAACGGTTCCTATTCCCTAGTGTATATTTCTTGTAATTGCTTTATAACGCTCACCAACTATATCTAATCATTTATTGTAGAGCATTGAGTGGATTTTCATACCATTAAGGTTAAATGCTACCACTCCTGTAGGACCTAGTATAATTACTGAAGGATTAACTCTCCCAGCCATTATTCTAAGCTTCTCTCGAATCATTCTCAATTCTTTGACTTGTTTGTCTATAAGTTATTATAGTGTGCTTCTATTCACATATTTATCAAATCGTGATTACGATCAATATCTTGAGACCCTAGGGCATCAGTTGAATGATCTATGTTTATGTTTAGTCTCATCTCTGCAAGCTACATCCAGTCATACCAACATTCTTCCTGCTTATCATCCTCATATGGCTCCTCTTGACCTTCATCTTTAGTAATTTCATCCTCTTCGTCATCTACTGGGAGTCAAAGAAAGTCATTAGGATCTATGTTGATCACGTTGGTATGTTAACTATATAATGTTGACCAAGGTATAGTATCATATTATATTTTATTTGCTGTTGAATATTTCGATGGGAATGTGAAAAAATATCCTAAACTCCTTCCACTACAGTGACACCTCCATAAGTGCACTCCCCTTGGGACCATAATAAAAAAATAGCAGAATGTGCAATTAGAGAGGGTGTGCATTTATAGAGAACAAAATATTAAGAGCTCTTATGAGTTGGAACAAAAGCCTACTGTGCATTTAGAGAGAATTTACATAGAGTGTGCATTTATAGAGGGTGCACTTATGAAGGTTTCACTGTATATTCCATTATGAATAATTGGGGTTATAGCTATATGAGTACAATTTTTTTTGTGTATTTCTTCCAAACCTATTGACTAATTTATGTGTTAAATTATGTGTTAAATTTAGCTTAAATAGTAAAAAATTTTCGAATTCTTCAGGATGATTCTAATATCTTTTTAAAGGAGATTATATTACTGTTCTATATTATCAATTGCTCTATTATTACTGCTATCTGTTTCATAAATCTACTTTGATGCTTCTTTACTAAGATTTAGCAAAACTAATGAATTATTTAAATAATAAAGAGGAATACTAAGAAGAAAATAGCAAATTACTTGAATAGAAATATCTCATTTTGCAATGCTATTAAGGAGAAGTTTCTGAATCAATAAAAAAGATGGAACTGGATTATTATTATTAAGAATTTATTAAAAATCTTAAAAAAACTATTGAATGAAAATTTTCTTTATTTACATACTTTAATATACAGTATATTTTAAGACTGCATGTATTCTTAGAAAGTTTATGTTTGTATACCTAGCTTTACAATTACGCAGATTGATAAAATGATTATTTTTTACCATAAGTTCTAGCTACTATATTTATCTTTGCATATGAAAGTACAATTATTGTGATTCTTAAATAACTAAATCTACATGATTATTAGCCTTTTTATTGACTTATTATTAAAAAAAGTACATTATGTATAATGTTGTAACTTATTAATTAATTCAATATAATCCTATAAATCATTAACTGTTTCATCTTAAATTTTTGATATAAATAACATTTTGTATATAGTATAGTTGTAAAGCAAACCCATTTTGGTAAAAGTTATTTCGATAGGTAGGTTTT